TTCAATTTGTTTCAACATTTTTTCCATGTGGGACAAACATTTCCCACATTTTGCATACCTATTTAGGCTTATCAAAACACTACACTTTGGAGCTAATTTCTCATTCATCCAGAAACGGATTTCAGAAAGTAAATATACCACGTTCATCTCCTTGCGTAGAGAAACGTGCTTGTCTAGAGATCCGTAAAAAATTAGTAGCGGAATCTATTTCAAATCTCATCCAAAGTTTATATTTTTAATGCCCCCGTTTCCAACAGTGTATATGATATTTCTGATTTTTTTCTTTTGCTAGGAAATGGACATGCAATGGCATTTAAGGGGAAAAAGAAGAAGGAAAACATAACAGCAACCATAAAAAAAAAAAGAAAAGGGTAACTTCAAAACATCCCATGCATTAAGTCCAAGCATTGAGAATCTTATGGCTCTATTCATGAAAGTTAATAAATTTCATTAAAAAAAAAAAAAATCAAAATTAAGTTGAACACGACAGAGGAATAATAAGTAGCCTATGGGCCAAACTAGAATAGAGATCCATATCTCATTATATCAGTTATGTATCTATATATTTTTTATTAATTAATTATAATTTGTGTATTATATTAATTATCAAATGAATATAATTACTTTTTTATTGGTTAATTAATTTTTTATATTATAAATTTAAAATATATATATGTATGTATATATAATTTACAATAAATTATTTATGCTTTGTATATAGTATTAATTATCAAATAAAAATAGCTGCTCTTCTATTAGTCTATACAATTTTTTTTTTGTTTTTTTTTTTTTTTGCTTTTATTTTATAATTATGTCATTTTCTTCTCTTAACAATTTTACACCTAATTTGGACTTCCATGTCAATACTTGTTCAAATTTTTGTTTTTGTAATTTGTGTGGACTCTTTTCCATGTAGATTTGCACAACTAAATCACCATCTATTAAGTTAAAAATATATAAATAGTGTTTTTATATTTCATTGAGCTTATTGCAAATAAGTAGATAGACTAATTCTTTTTTTTTAAATAAAAAAAAAAAAAAAACTATTATTATTGTATTAATATAATCAATGTGAGAAGGCCTAATTTACTAATTTCACCTTTGGACTTCCATGTGCCATGTCAATACTAATCAAACTTTTGATAATGTAATGAATAATTAACTTAGAGGATACTTGTTAAAGATAAAAGGTGTATTAATCTATTTATTCATGTATTAATTAACTTAGAGGATTCTTTCATGTCAACCTTAATTAGTCCATGAATATCAATAATTTAGTATTGTATTAATAAAATTAATGTGAGAAGGCCTAATTGACTAATTTCACCTTTGGAGATATTGATATTTTGTTCAAATTGTTTTCTAACAGTGGACTAAATGATTGATATTCATAAAATAAAATAGAAGGGAGAAAAGGGAATATGTATACTTGAGAGAATCGATCACTAATGTATTACCTCAACAAACCCCATGCTGCTCTAATTAACTCTCAACAAGTCCACGCTGGTCTTTAATCACACATTCACGCCCATCTCTCATATCTCTCCTGTTAACTGTCTCTTACTTTTATTTCATTACTGTACATGTCGTGCATCCTTATTCCTCACTCCATTTTTCTCTTTTTCTATTATTTTATTAATATATCATTCTTGTCATTAATTTTTGCTAGGTAATGAACAATGACTGTGATGATTCTGTGGGCGAGTACAAGATACTCACAAATTATTACACTAGCGAGTTACGGGTGCACAATTCCATATCGCCTGAAAAGAGAAAGGTGAAGTGCTTATATGTAGGTATGTCACTCCAATTGGTATGAGGCCTTTTGGGATAAAGCTTAAGAGCAAAATCGTGCGAGCTCAGGTCCAAAGCGGACAATATCATACCATGTGGTGGACTGGGTCGATACTATTTAGCTACGTATGTCACTCCAATTGGTATGAGATCTTTTCAGATAAAGTTCAAAAGTAAAATCGTGCGGGTTCAGATTCAAAACGGACAATATCATACCATGTGGTGAAGTGGATCCTTACAATGACATTTTAGGGAAAAAAAAAAAAAAAAAAAGGAAAGTAGAAAGGGCAATAACAAAAAATAACTTCAAAACATCCCATGCATCAAGTCCAAAGCATTAATGAGCAACAAGTCTTATGGCTCTCTGTCCATGAAAGCTATTGAACTTCATTATTATCCACAAAAAATTTCGAAGTTGAACACGGCAGAGGAATAATAGGTAGTCTATGTACCAAATTAGAAAAGAGGTTACATATCTTATTACATTAGTTATATATATAATTTATGTATTATATTAATTATCGAATAAATAGAATTCTCTTTTATTCGTTAATACAAGTTTTTCATAGTATATTATATATATGTATCTATATATATTTTATGATGAAGTATTTATGTTTTGTGTATTGTATTAATTATCAAATAAAAGCAGCTACTCTTCTATTAGTCAATGCAAGTTTTTGTTTTTAATTTTTTTTTTCTAGCTTTTATCTTATAATTACCTCATTTTCTTCTCTCTACAATTTTATACCTTTGGACTTCTTCTAACTTTTTAAATTCTCTTGCATGTCAATACTTGTTCAAATTTTTGTTTTTTGTAATTTGTGGACTCTTTTTCACGTAGATTTACAGTTTTACACAACTAAATCACTATCTATTAAGTTAAAAAATATATAAAAATAATATTTTTATATTTCATTGAGCTTATTGCAACTTAAGTAAATAGACTAATTACTTACCAAAAAAAAAAAAAATTAAATAGACTAATCTAAAAAAAAAAAAAAAATTATTAGTATAATCAATGTGAGAACAGAGAACTCCCATTGTGGCCAAGTGGATTGTTTATGAGATAAAGCAATAACTTTCAGTGATACATTATGGGCGACTAAAAAGATCTGAGGCTTTCCAACCGACAATGGTAACTAAATGAATGTTTAGGGCTAGGGGTGCAACTTGGCCTTTCCAACCTGAACGACCTCAAGCCAACTTCGGGATGGGTTGGGCTGACCCGAGGTAACACAATTTCGAATTCTAACCCGTTAGACCCACCCTGAATCTTTTTAGTAGCGTCTTTCAATTTAATTTCAAAAAAAATTTAAAGATTGTTTTGCAAAGACAAAATATGTATATGGTACTTATATTTTTTCAGTTTTAATTTTATTAGTATTGGAAAGGCAGTGTATTAGTACTTACAATTAAAATCTTATAAAAGATAATAAGTATGACATAAGTACAATAAATTTTTAAAAAAATATATTCAAAATGGGTTCTACCCATGAACTCAAATCCTTCGGATTGGGCAAATTAATTGGATTGATGGATTGTTATTATTATTATATAAAAAATAAAAATAAAAAACTCTCTCCTATCTACCTATTTCAAACCCTAGAAACATTCAGCCCCTCCCAAAAAAAAAAAAAAAAAATACTTGAAATCTTCAAAAAAGACAATCTTCAAATTCGGGTTGGACTGGTCTAACCGATGCCAACCCAAATTGGGCTGGGCTGAGAATTTTCAGCCCGAGCCCAACCCGTACTTGTAAAAATCAGTTTTGGTCTTTTTATGTGCTAGTCTCTTGAAGTACTTCAAAGTTCCTTCCCCAGTCAAGATCTGTATATAGTTGAAATAAGCAGCTCTTGGAGACTTTGAAACATTAGATTTCATGTAGGCATAGAGCCTTCTAAGCCAGGATATAAGCAGCTCTTGGTATATGAAGATTAAAGAGTGACAAATGGTAGTATAGATAGTTTTCCATGGTTTACAAATTCCTCCTACTTTAATAAAAGAACAGCCTCATTTTATTGCGTGCCATACTATAAATTTGTGTAAATAAAACAAGTTTTAATGAGCAAGGTATGTGCGACCTAGTGATGACCGTGGAGCGTTTAAGCCTCTAATTTATTTATTTATTTATTTTTTTCGTTGGACGTGAATTCCATTCATATAAAATTAAAGCAAAGATCATTATTGGATTCAAGAAAGTGTTACATTTTTTTATTTTATTTTAAAATCAATACAGGAAACACACCCACATATTTCTGTTCGAAACTTCTACCTCGGTTTTGGAAGGCAAAGAGATACACTAGGCTACAGGTTTACAACTTTTGGTCCTCTGTCTATTTCAAGAACACTTTATTAAACCAAATAACAATTATCTGCTGAAGTGGCAATTTGTCGAACACATTAATTCTAATTTTTAACATTATTTATTCTAAATTTCAACACTAAATTTCAACACATTAAATATGACTTAAATATGTAAATTTAATGTGTGAAAACAAATTTAATTGGGTTGAAAGACCCTATACCACATATGTTGTAACATTAGAGATCTTTGATTCTTTTTAAAAAAAAAAAAAAAAAAATTCAGAAACTATCGTAACAGAAAACAACTTAAAAAAAATAGAGTACGTGTTCCCACAATAGTTTTCATAAAGCCATAAAGACCAAACGAGTTATTTTTATTTATTTTCAATTTTTTCTGTTCTTTAGAAAGAAATAACTACATCGTAAACACGCATGAGAATGATAAAGTTGAGTTTTTTAAACAACATTTAATTGGTATGAAACGGAAAGGGAGGTCCCAAATGTATTTACATAACACGAGGAGGTGCATGCTGACCTTCTTGCCTTGAAGAGAAAAGATTATAATATGTCACATTTGGTAGGTCAGCTGTCTAATTCTATGATCATATCATTTGGTAGACCGCATCGGTTTCTCACAATCACCATAATTTTCCAACATCGACTTCATCATTCTAAATAAAACCGAGATTAACCCGACCAATTTGGGTAATGGCCTTCTTAGTTCTTCATGAACCCTCTTTGATAAACTCCGGTTTAGTTTCCCACCATTTGCAGTCTCTGTTTTATCCTTTTAGTACAACTTGCTCTATTGCTCGGTTTTCTTAGCTTCCCGACGTTTTCAGGTTGTATTCTTCTCGTATCCATTTAGTAAAAACATGCTCTGTTCTTCATCCTGTTGCTTAGACTGGCCTGTCTTGCTGCTGAAATATCTTCAGATCAGTTTTCATTTCTATCGAACTGATGCCTGGCTCCTTCGTCATATGAACTTTTTTCATGATTCGTCTCTTCTCTTCAACTGTAGCCCAGTCTCCTGCAAGAGCATAGAAGTTTGACAGCAGTATATAAACTTCATGGCTTTGTGAACCCAACTTAACAAGTTCATTTGCAACCTTTGATCCGAGATCAATATTTGAATAACTTCTGCAAGCACTAAGTAGAGTTTTGTAAGCTACAAGTCTTTCGTCAGGTGGCATGATATTGATAAACTCCTCCGCCTGGTGCAAGAGTCCGGCTTTGCTCAAGAGGTCAATCAGACAGCCTAGGTGCTCAATCTTTGGTTGGATATCGTATAACCCTACCATTCTACTGAACAAAAAACAGCCTTCTTCAACCAGCCCCGATTGTCTACATGCTGTCAATATAGAAACAAATGTTGCTTCATTCGGCTTAATTCCATGTTTCTCCATTTGATAAAACAACCTCAAAGCTTCTTTTTGGTGCCCATAATTTGCAAGCCCTTCAATCACTGTTGTCCAAGTAAAAACATCCTTTTCTTCCGTCTTGTAGAAAATCACCATGGCTGCATCCAAACTTCCACACTTCAAGTACATGTCAATCAGAGCTGTTTTGACAAAAATGTCTTGCCTTATACTGTTTTGGAGGACAAACTGATGAACATATCTACCATATTGCAGGTCTGATATGCTAGCACACGCTGCAAGAACACAAACAATAGTGGTTTCATCCGGTTTCACCATTCCACTCTCCATTTTCTTGAAAAGTGCTAAAGCCTCATTCGGGCGCTTTCCCTTTACATACCCATGAATCATTGAGTTCCACAAAACTATGTCCTTGTCAACCATACGATCAAATATATCACGAGCCATATCTACAAACCCTATTTCCATATAACCATTGATCAAAATCGTTTGTGACACTACATCACTCCTACCATCCATCTCGGTAAACAACTTTCGCGCCCCATTCATCTCCCTGCACTTGGCATACAAACCTAGCAGTGCATTCTCCAAATTCAAGTGGCAAATGCATCCCACTTTTATAACATAAGCATGGACTGCCCTACCGTACTCTATCCCTCTTACTTGTGCACAAGTTGTAACTAAAATCACCAAAGTGATCTCATTTACTCGAATGCCTTCATGCAACATTCCTCGAAACAGAGGCAGCACTTCGGACTTTGACCCGACTTTTGTGCTGTAAGCGGCTAGGAGTGTATTCCAACTTGTGATATCTCTCTGAGACATAGTGTCAAACAAGAGGTGTGCGTCGGTCATCTGTGCTGTGGAGCTATATAAGTGAATAAGAGCATTTTGTACATAAATGTGGCCATTTAGACCTATTTTTGTGATGTGGGCATGTACTTCTTTACCTTTTGCAAGTGAAAGTATACGAGTACAAGCCTTGAGTACAGATGGGTAAGTGTAGTTGTCTGGGCAGATAGAGTTTGATGTGATAAAGTTGTTGTAAATGAGAATGGCTTTAATGGGTATGGGGCTTTTAGAGTAGGCTATAAGAATCCAATTCCATGCGGTGGTGGTATGGATGAGACTAGTTGTGATGGTTTTGGCTAGGATTTTGTCAAGTTGTTTGATGTTGTGGGCTGATCGCCTGAGGAACAGAAGTATTTTGTGCACTGGGCTGCACATTAGTACTTCTTTTGATGGGGATTGGTTTGGTTTGGTGTTTGGCTGTCAAGACGTTGTTAGTTACAAAAAGGGTCTTCTGGTGGGTTAAGTATGACATGCGCGCAAAGCATACATAGAGGGCCAACCAATTATTTGAATGGTTGCTTTTTGAGCCTTTTCTTCCCATTTACTCCGACAATAAATAAAAACTTGAAACCACAATATTTTGAATTAAAAGGTGTGGAAATATCACTAGACTTTATACTATATAATCTTTCTAACAAAATTAATTAATGTGGAAATATCACTAGACTTTATACTATATAATCTTTCCACATTAATTAATTTTGTTAGAAAGATTATATAGTATAAAGTCTAGTGATATTTCCACACCTTTTAATTCAAAATATTGTGGTTTCAAGTTTTTATTTATTGTTGGAGTAAATGGGAAGAAAAGGCTAATTAATTTTGTTAGAAAAATTATATAGTATAAAGTCTAGTGATATTTCCACACCTGTTAGAAAGATTATATAGTATAAAGTCTAGTGATATTTCCACACCTTTTAATTCAAAATATTGTGGTTTCAAGTTAATTAATTAAACTTTTATCAAAGAACACTAGCTTCAATAACATAAGTTCTGCTCTTTAAATGAGGAGGTTGGGTGTTCTAAACTCTAGCTTCAATAACATAAGTTCTGCCCTTTAAATGAGGAGGTTGGGTGTTCTAACCTCGCTAGAGGCCTAATATATAAAGAAAGTGAATTTACAACGAAGAAATCCTATAAGAATTGTACTTTTATCATTGTTGGATCACTTACACACAATCACATGAATCATATATTTAATTATGGAATATAAACTTTTAATTATTTCAAAAATCAACTATACAGTACTCAAATATTCATTATTATTTTTATAATAAGAAACAACTATCACTATTCGATAATTTTTAGGCTGGATTCGGGTTAAGCTGGGCTAGCCCGCCCAAGTTGCACCTCTAAAACACTAAAACAGACCATGAATCATCATTGTCAAGGTGCTAAAAAAAGAAAAGAAAAATATTTTATATCTGTCAAGGTGCTAAAAATTAGTCAATATACTATTCACTGTTGCGTCTGTGTGGGTCCAAGCTCACTTAGTAGTTCGCTTTGTACAATTACTAGTGTGAATTTATGTCGTTAGTAAATTGGGGAAATTCCTTAATAGTTCTATTTTTAGAGCTGAAAGATAGTCTGTTTGGCATACATTTTGTTTCTGTTGTTTTTTATTTTGGGCTGCTATAGTGTTGATTTTGACAACAAAAGCATGTTTGGTGTGACCTTGTTTTATTTTACAGCAAAATATTGTTTCCAAATATGTTTTCGGTTTTTTTCCAAAACACTTTTACGGCAAAAACAAAATGCCTAAAACAAAGCGCTTACCAAACCACCCTAATCAAGTCCTAAAAGTATTTTTGTGAACAAACAAGTCCTACTTTTATAATTTATTTCCAAATAAGTTTAAATTTATTTCATTTTCCAACATTACCCTTATTTGTCATTTTCAATAATTAGGGTTAGGAATCTTCACCTTCTTTTTCAAGCGGGTTAAAAATGCCTTCGATACGGTTGCGACGAGCTCCCTCAAACAAAGGAAGAGAACCACATGCCAACTCAAGAAAACGAAGCAAGGCGAAAATCGTTTTGCTTGTTTATTGTCATTCACCATTTTTTTCGGTGATTTCAGGTAAGGTAGCACTTCTTTCTATTCTTTTAGGCAAAAAAACATAAAACCCCCCTCAAGTATAAAAAATCAGCATTTTACCCACCTGAACTACAAAATCGAGCAAGTCAGACCCTCAACTTTCAGAAATGATCAGTTTCACCCCCTAGCAGTCCTTTCTGGCTCATTTCCGGCACAGATGGAGCGCGTGAGGTTACTTTATGATATAATTTTATAATTGCCCTTACAATATGGCCGTTGTAGCCCTGTCTATAAATTAACTCCAAAATTCCTTTCTTCTTCCTCCAACAGCAACTGCTCCTCTCTCCAAGTGCAGAAAAAAAAGACTCCATTAAAGTTGAAAAAGTTAAGGTCAGATGGGTGTATATATATGTGTGTGTGTGTGTGTGTATTTCTGTACTTTATATATATATATATATATATATATATATATATATATATATATATAGTGATATCTTTGTATAAGTAGAGGTTGTCCTTTGAGCAGTGTCTTAAAAAATCTTGGGAGTAACCTTGCCTCTCAATTCATTTGAATTTTTTTTATTGGTTGCATTTTAGGATATTCATGGTTAAGGACCACCAATGGGCAGAGTATATTTTCAAATCTATAGGTAATCTGGTGGAACTTCTGTGACCCAATAATTGAATATTGCAAAAACCTAAGAGAACAAGTCAATCAGGTCATAAAGGTTGTGAAACAATATTTCCACACAGGATTATATTCCTCAGCATATAACATTATTGAGGAATGAATTTTAAACAATCATTTTTTAAACTAGTACTGTTTGTATCTTCAAAAGCTCCAAGAAACTGAAGAATACATATTTCCAAACAAGACCAAAAATGGGTAATACCCAAATGATATAACACCAAATGGGACATCATTTACTCGATTAAATCCAAATGAGATTAGTTTGAACAAATTAGAACCACTAAATCAATACCAAAAAAAAAAAAAAACCCTGACAATAGAGGTGTGAACTTTAATCCCAAATCAATAGCAAACAAATCAAATACTATATCTACAACATTTGTAAATCAATTGTACTCAGAATATTCATGCTCATGAATAGAAAATAAGAAGACTATAGTGATTCGAAGATAAGATTGATAAAGAGCGAAAGACATGCCTGCTAATGATTCGAAATGTAGAGCCTCCTTTGTTCAAATTTCAAAGGATCATTATTCGATTATGCGCGCTTAGATATAAATATATGTATATACATATGGATATCTTTTTAGAGAGAGAAAGATGTGGAGTGAGAAACAATTCCACTAACCATACAGCATCATTGGACAAAGAATCAACATTATACTAATGAGATACATTGTAAGAGAGAGGGAGAAAGAACGGGGAGAAAGTGCACTTATTCAACTCTGGGTCAGACCAGTTGCATTCCCTTGGCTGAGTTTGATAGAATATCTTTGATTCCATAAGGTCTCCTTCTTTCTCTTCTTCATGTTGACCCAAGTGGCATTGGTGCATCACCCAATTGGTTTTTTCGGGTTTTCTATTCTTGCCAAAGTTTGTGTAGAGAACTAGGATTTTCTTACACCCTTTCTGTTTACCACTAACCATGACCAGCCTGGTCTTGCCGGTTTTGTGCCACTGAGTTTCTCCACCTTGCAAGTCACATTCGGTTTGAGAAGATTAATACCCAGAGGAGGGAGCTTGAAAGGTTGAATTTTGAGGGTATTGATACTAACAAGCCTAGTTGCCAAATTCTCTTCTTCACCACCACCACCACGAGACATCCCTCCCTTACCCATTTTCTCTTTCTACTCTCTCTCTAAATTTTTCAAGTGAACTGTGAAGAGTGAGGTGATGTATTAACATAAGGGTATTGATGGTATTTCCCAATTTTAATTTTATTTGCTTTTTTTAAAATGTTAATTATAATGAGCATTTTTGTAAATGTACAATGACGGTGACCGAAAATGAGTCAGAAAGGACTGTCGGGGGTAAAACTGATCATTTCTGATAGTTGAGGGACTGACTTGCTCGATTTTGTAGTTCAGGAGGGTAAAATGCTGATTTTTGATACTTGAGGGGGGGTTTTATGCTTTTTTGCCATTCTTTTATTTTAAACTTTATCGTTTGGATTTAGAATGAGGATTTGATGATTGGTAAAAGTATATTGATATGAATAATATATACAAAAATAATAACCCAGCTTACCGACATACCCGAAAGAGAGATCAAGATAAATAACTGTCTCAACTGTTTGAGTGCATTTCTTGTATGTTACATGAACGGTAAAGGTCTAATGTGTGGTGGTGTGAGAATTAAAGAAGGATTTTTGTTCAGCATGTTCTTATAGAACTATATACGTATAGATGATCATATTATTAAGTCCTTGTTTTTTATTTTATGTGTATTAATTTGTTTGGTGATTTCATTGCAATTGTGTTAATTTTCTAACTCGCGTGAAAAGAAGATAAAGATTCCCCAGCCTAATTATTGAAAAAGATAAAAAAAGGGTAATGTTGAAAAATAAAATAAAATAGAATTTGTTTGGAAATAAATTGTAAAAGTAGGACTTGTTAGTCCACAACAATATTTTTAAGATTTGATTGTCTTTCAGCTCTAAAAGTAGGACTATTAAAGAATTTTTCCTAGTAAATTTTCCATGAACACTCTTTGATAATTTCACCCAAAATACTTAAAAATAACAATAATATTATTTAGACGGATTTTCTAAGCGAATAACATCGGTGGGTGGAGGATTTTATTCCCTACTTTGAATGGAGTCCAAACTTACTGTATCAAAGGAATGAAAATCTCATCAAGACAATACAAAAATTTGAAAAATAGGTTAGAATAATTTTTTAAATAAATTTAAACAAAATGGGCCCAAGGGAAATTAGTTTGGGCCACTTTGGGCCGAACTAATTTGCATTATAAATTTCTTCGATTTCTTACAGCCTTATAATCCGAAACGCTTCAAGGTTATATATGCTTTGATAGATTGAAATTTTCCAAAAACAGGGCTTACAAAAAAACAAACAAAAACTAGGGTTTAGTACAAGGAATCCAGAGAAGACAATGTCCTCGGCATCACCTCTCATGGTGCTCGATTGAGAAATTGGAGTTTCTCTTTAGCCATCTAACGAATGCTCTTTTCATGAAACAAAAGGTCAGTGATTTTCTTCACGCCTCTCTCTATGCGTCTCTCTGTGTCGGCAGTGTAATTCAGTGCAGGGTTAGGGCTTGTAGCCCCAAATCATTTTTTTACCCTTTTGCTCCGTTTTCTCATAAACCAAACAGGGTAAATTACCCTAAATCATTGTTTTTTATATGTTAACTTTTTGTCATTAAAGCGATTCAGTTTTCTAGAAGGAGTAACTCGTGGTTTGATTCCATTTACTTGTTTTTGTTTCGTCTCCCGTACCCTAATTGTTCCTTTTACTTCGTATTCTTTCAGCGATGGCCGCAGATGTAGTGCTGAAAGACGAATCCGTGTCTCTCTGCTGTGCGGTGGTATGTTCTTCGTTTTTGTTCTCACACAATATTATTTATATATTCACGGTTGTTCTTACTTATAAATAAATATTATGTGTGCAGTGGAAAGAGAAATGCTCAAAATTGAATGAGCAACGTAAGGCTCTTAGGCAAGCTGTGAGCATTTATGAGCAACAACTTGAAAAATCTGAAGCTGAGAATCGCAATCTGAAGAAAGGTAAGAATGAATGCAATTATATTTTTTGTAACCACTGCTCCTACTCTACCTTTCCCTTGTCTTTTTTATAGTCTTTTTTTTTTTTTTTTAATTTAATTTTATTTAATTTTTTTAGTTCTCTGTTAGTTTAACTAGCTAACATGTATTTGATGGGAAATAAGAAGTTGGTATGGAAGAGAAAAAATAATTGCGAAAATTGTAGGCAAGTACATGAAGAGGACCCCTAGAAGACATCATAATGGGATAACAAAGCAAAATGCAAATATATTTCTTAAGGAAAAAAAAATACTGAAATAGAATAATGCATTTAAGTATAAGGGCTGGTCAAACAAAGTTCGAATAGTAGCCCTTTCAGTCAGATGGCCCACCTCAGATTCACCATTCTAGGTTTCTCTTTGTGAGACAGTGTTAGTGCCTCATTGAATCATGATTCTCCATTCAGAGGGTGAAATATCCACTGTATTTGGGATGATCACTTGCTTGCAAACCACTATTGAGTTGATATAATTCTTCCCCAAAATGGAGAACCTCTATTTTTAGCTTCCTGATGGTTCCATGGCAAACCTGGAAGATGTTCTTATGATATATATATATATATATATATATATATATATATATATATATATATATATATATCATACATAATATATAGCTTGATATGAATTCGATAAGAATGTAGTATAGACACATGCACTCAGATGGGTGTGCATCCCTAGGAAAGGCTTCTGCTGGAGTACCTTGTTGAGACCATTTATTTTTTGGTTGAATTCACTTCAATGATTGAATCTAGATATGTTTGGCTTTTTATTTCAAGGTGCATGTTTTGTGTTTCATATTTTATCATATATAAACACACACACAGAAATTTATTTATACAAATAGATGAATAACATCGTTGTTTTTTTTATTATATTTCATTTACCAGCGACAGAAGAAGAAAGACTGCTGGCAGAAATTTTAAGAGATGAGAAAGCGAAAGAATCGGCTATTCGAGTTTCTTTGGAGAATGAGATTTCTGCTCTGAAGTCTGAGATTCTTTCATTGCAGCAAAAAGCAGGTCCACAAGGTCAAGATATGGAAAGGGAAAGAATGCTTCTTCAAACGCGTGTTTCAGAAGGGGAAACAGAAATAAATCAACTCAAGGAGGTTCTTGCGAAAGAGAGAATGAGGGCAGATTCTGAGAGGAAGAAAGCTGAGGCAGCGAAGAAGAAAGCTAATGAAGCACAGAAAAGTGTAAAGGAAGAGAAAAATAGGGCTGATGAGGAAAAGAGACTTGCCAATATCGAAAGAGAAAAGGCTGAGGAAACTAGACTTCGGTTGGAGACGTTAAATGGTGAAGCCGATGAAATGAGATCAAAATTGGTTCTGGAGACACGTAAGTCTGAAGAGGCAAGGAAGAAGCTTGAGGTAGAAAGACAAAAGACAATCAAAGAGAAAAAACGTGCAGATTTGGAGATGACCAAGGCAGAAGAGCAAAGGAAGCTTGCAGAAATGAATAGGAAGAGGGAAATGGATGAAAAATGTCGTGCTGATAAGTTTTCTCAGCAGTTGGAAGAGCATAAACGAGAGATTGAGAAACTACAGAAGGAGATATATGAACTTGTATCGTCCAGAAAATTGGTTGAAGCTGCTGCTTGCTTACCTGATAAACAGACGATTGTTGATACTGAAAAGGCAAGCAAAATGCTTGGGAAAGAAAAGCAGATGGCAACTAGAGAGAAAAAACATGCGGGCTCAGAGATTAGCAACACAGAAAAGCAGAAAAAGATTGCAGAGGTGAATAGAAAGAAGGCCATGGAAGAAAAGCATCGTGCTGATCTGTTAGCTCTACAGTTAGAAGTTAATGAAAGAAGGATAAAAGAACTGCAGAAGGAGATATTTGAATTTCAGTCTTCTAAAACATTGGTTGAGGCTCCTGTTGAACCACCTGATAGAATTGTGAATGCTGAAACTGCTAAAAGGAAGCTGCTGAAAAAGCAATTGAGGTTTGAAAAGATGCGAGTAGAGCATGCCAAACAAGTGATGAAACTGGAAATGGGTCGTAATAATATTCTACGACAAGAACTGCGCTGCTTAAAACAGGAATTAATTCAATTTTCACTTCGCCTGGAGATACTGGATAAGAGCTTCTTGCCCGGTGATGAAGGTATAGATGATCTGGCAAAGGTTAGTCTCCCTTTTTCTTATATTTTTTTTAAAGCTCTTATGTATTTTTTCTGAATTGGAATATTATTGATTAGTTTGGTGTTATGGTGATGGCATTTATCTATGAAAAAAGAGCATACAGGTTTCTGATGTTTGTTATTGCAATCTATACTGGTTGATTTTTACTCAGAAGCAAGTTTTGCTGTAAGTACACTTTAACTTAGGTATTCTCCTGATGGCTGTTTTGTTTAATAACCTGGTGGGTGATAAAAGCCTGTTAGAGTAAACACTTCTAGATTGCATCATGCAGATCATTTCTTATGTGTTATGCAAAGCATAGACAATCTCCTTTAATGATCTGTTTGCTGAAAATTTTGTGTTACTTGCAGATTGGCTGCCTCTCTAATACGCAAAGCTTAAATTTGAAGAAGAAATCTTTTGCTGTAGAACCATGTCAGATGAAACATTGTGTTGAAAATGAGATTGTAAAGTCTAGTTGCAGAAAAGTAGATGCCTCTGTCAAGCAAACTGTAGAATGTGCTGCACCATTGCTCCCTATTTCTGGAGGGACCTGTAGTCAATCCATCTCAGGTATTGATTCTAAATTGGAGCCTCTGCTTAGAGGTTCTAACAGAAAAATCTTACAGAGTTCCGCCATAAATTCCAGCATGGCATCTTTTTCTGATAGGCCGTTGATGGGCTCACAGGAAAGAGGGAGTTTTTCTCTCACTGCATCAGCTAATTTTTCTGAAGAGAAATCAAGTTTACAGCCATCTATTTCCAGTATATCTGGTGAAGTTACGGAGCTGAGGTACAATGGAAATCTTGCAATGGTGGCTGAAAATAGTGTTGGAAGCCCCATTAACGTAGATTCTGCTGGGAGGAAGGTTGGCCATGGTAAGAAGAGAAAGATAATCCTTGATGCAGTTGAATCTGTTGAACATATGTATTCTGAGCCTAAGAAGTTGCATCTGCAGAAAGAAGAAGAGAAATGTTCTGTGTTGAAAGGTATGTTAAATAGTCAAATGGATAGAGCCTTGGAAGAGGAAAGGTTCATGGTCGCTAACCTACAAGGCAATTTATATGCTAAGGACATTTCTTACAAGAAGAGAAAGGCATCTCCTGGCAAGGAAGTAACTATCCATTATGTGCATGAATCAGATGGGCAAAAGGATGGCACTGAAGATGGTAATATTTGTGTCGAATCTTCCCCGTGCTCCAATAAGTTAACAGGAGGTGCTCAGACATGCATGGATGGTATACTTGATAATGCTGAGAATAATCAGGAAATATGGGGAAATTTTGAGAATGTTGCTAATGGAGACTATATGAAATTGCTTGACTTGGATAGTGCTGTTGACGAAGAATGTTACCGTGTAGCAACTGAAATTCCGTTATCACCTACTCTTCCTGAAATTGAATTTAAAAGTAACGAGGCATTTGTAGTTGACGACTCTATGTGGTTAGTAGATGGCAGTTCATATGGGGAATTTTCTAGTGAAAAGGACAATCTGGTGCCTTCTTGCGGCTTTGATGTCATCAATGTGGAGATTGATTCCAATAAGTTCAAATCTAATGGTACCTTTGGGACTTCTCCATTATTGCATGGGAGTGATGGTTTCGATAATTCTTTTGAGAGTTTAGAGAATAGTGATAATTGTAAACATAACATCACGTATGTGGGCGATGCTTCTGTTTGCCAGATTTGGGACTCAGGTACTGAGTTGGGGATGTCAGATACAACTATGTCTGAAAATATGGAGCCAAAGATTTCACATGAAAGTGAACTTAGATTTGTACGTGATAATCTTCCAAAATTCTGTGTTGTGGTTTCAGATATCAAGGACAGTTGCAGCATTTCTAGGATATTTTGTGCCACCAGAACGTGCATGGCTCAGTGCTCTATTGCATCACAGTCAGCTCAGGTGGTGCAAAAGATTTTGTCTGCTCTTCTTGAGATTAAAGATCTTTTACCCAGGTAGGTGATTCATTCAAATTCTAGTAGGTAAATCAGTTTTCTTGTGGAGTTATTATATTTTTTGTAGACTCAGTGCTATCATGACTGTTACTTGATACTGATTTTCTACTGTGGTTGTGTAAGTTGGTGAAACAATTACCATATAAATATTGTGCTCTAGAGGATGATGGTAGTAGTTGCTAATTGATTTTGTTTCTTTGTTGGTTTTGTTTTCTGTTAATTGTTTCCAGGGAGAAGGTTTGTGTGTTCTTTTCACTGCTTTTGAACAATTTCTCTGGGATTGCTTTGGGGAACCTTGGAAACTTTCTAAAGAGTGATTCTGTCCTCTTCTTAGATTCTTTCGCTGAAGAAATTAGTGCAGGTTTGTTTGGTTATTGGATGATTGTTAATTTTTGTAATATTTTATCCGGATAATTAATCTTTCATAATTTTCACTTGAACTTATAATGCTTTCGATGTGCAGTGATGTCTGATGTGGAGAAAAGAAGCATGTTCGCAGAATTATGCCACTTGGACGATCTGCTTACACTCATTGAGGATTTTCTTATAGATCAAAGAGTTCTTGTATATAGTGATGTGGATTCTGATTTATCAGTTGTTTGTAATTCAAAAGTCGTCATCATTCTGGATGGTACGGATATAGTCTTGTCCTCTGAAACAGCTTCGACTCACCAGTTGGTTGCTGGGGGCATTGTATTAGCATCAATATGTGCAGCAGTTGACCACATAGGTTTTATATGTGAGTCTTCATACAACATTTCGAGGATGCAGAAGTTTGATTCTTCGTTGATGCTGACTATTCTTCATGTTTTTGCTCATATCTGTGGATCTAAGTATTTTAGTCTTGACAACTACAGTTTATTAATGACTGTGTTGAAATCTTTAGTTATGTTTTTTGAGAGAGCAACTTTATCGAGTGATTCTGCTTGCGGTCTTCCATCTCTTACGGAGGTCCGGGCTGGATTTCCTTCTTGTACCGAATGCCCTTTTTCTGAGGGTGCGGTTTCCATGGATACTGTTGTTTCACTGCTCTTGGAAAAGCTTCAGAACTTCACCTTTTCCGGTGCCATGCATCAAGATCTGATGAAATCAGTGAATTCTTCAAAATCTGAAACCGTTTCCATCGAGGAGAAAGCCGGACAAAATTCAGGTCATGAAGATGTCCATTCTGACCTTTATATGAACTGCAACTTATGCTGGTGTCTAAATAAATCTGGGATGCTCACTACTCAATCAAATTCTGTCTTTGGTGAGACTTTGTGCCACTTGAGTGATATCCTGTCCCTAGTTGAGCTGGTAGCATGCAAGATGGTACGAGTTTCAACTTTTCTGGGTGTACATTATACTTTGTCTTGTTTCATTCTGATTAGCAGTTATTATGTTAGGTAAATGTGCATTGGGTGGTGCCTTTTCTGACCTGATTTGGCGGCCCTGTAATCAGGTGTTCTTTTCCAATGAAATTTTCCCGAAATTGGATTTTATTTTTAAATTCTAATTTTTCCTGGGAATTTTTCGACTTTTTTGGTGTTCCTGGATTTAAAACATTGAGTTGGGTTTTGAGTATCACAGGGAAAGCAAGGTGAAAAATGAAATGCTTGGTAGCTGTAACTTGTAAAGTTAATCAAAATGATTTTTTTTCACTTCAAGGAAAAATATATTTAATGTATGGCAAAATATCTGATATAGTGGGTCATTAGGTGAAGAATTAATATAGGATCAACCCTCATATTACAATTTGGCCTTTTCACTAGTATTATTATCAATAGCGACTGCAACTTTATAAATTGGTTCTTATTTTCATTTTGTGTTCTTGTACAACATATTCTTGGAGAATTATTCTGACCAATTACCTACTTTTTTTCTATTTCTTGCCATGCAGAGCTGGGATTGGACATGCAACAACATCGTTTCTCCGCTGTTAAAAAAGTTGGAATCATGCATCCCAGAAAATTATTTAGCTGCTATTTTAATTCTTCTTGGTCATCTGGGAAGGTAAAAAATTTGTTATTGCTTTATTGAAGTATAATAAATGAATGATATTGTTTGTCCTGAAATAATTTACTCCCTCCTTCACAAATTAATTTTGTTATTGCTTTATTGCAACATAAACTTGGCATTCTAGTTTGGGGCTGATATATGTTCCTGAAATAATGTATTCTCTCCTTCACAAATCATTATTATTTTTATATATTTTTTATTTTTGGGAATTCCAACTTTGTAAGGGGATATGCATTTAATGCATTGTCTCTTTCTAATTCCAAGTTAATCCAATAAAATTTAAAAATTTATATTATTGATGTGGGAAAGTTTTCAGACCCTAAGCATAATTTAGTAATTATTTGTGCATTGATTTTTAAAAAGGGAAACTATGAAGGGGCACTCATTTGGTGATGGGTTGGTAATGGTTCTATGTACTTTGTTATTACGTCTTATTTAGGATTTTTTCCCACTAAATGTGATTGATCTTATGCGGGATTCATTTACTAAGGTGATTGTTAAAAAAATATAGAGCGCACTGAAAAAAGACCTGCTCAGTGTATTTGTTAACTTATGAAAAGCATATGATGCGGTCCTGAGCGATGTAAGAATGTGTGTATCAACTAGGTATAGTTGATTTAAATCAAGAACACGTGTTGTGGAGATGTAACTAGTTGATGTGGTCCTGAGCGATGTAAGAATGTGTGTATCAACTAGGTATAGTTGATTTAAATCAAGAACACGTGTTGTGGAGATGTAACTAGTTGAGAATTGTGGGAGGAGAGAATCAGTGAAATTTCTAATAATAGTAGGCTTCCATCAAGAATCTGAGTTTAGTATTTACTCTTTTGCATTACTTATTGATGGGCTTAGTAGGCATGGGTATGTTGGTAGCTGGTGACATAGTTTTAATTGGTGAATCTAGTGGGGAAATTATTTCTAAGTTAAATATGGGAACTTCATTTTGGAATCTCCAGGTTTTGCCATGTACAGTATAGTCCAACTTATGCAACAACATAGAAGTTTTAGGTCTTCACGCATCATAAAAAATTGTCTTAACATACTCGGAAAAAAATAAAATAAAATAAATAACATCTTGATAAAGATGGAAGGAAATGCTTATGATGAATGGACTTTGTATGTGCCTTTGGAGTATTGGATGGTTGACTTGTATCTTATCAGATTGATGGGTAAAATTTAGATCAAAGTTGTGGACTGTTGTAGAGGGCTAGCAGCCTTGTTTTCTAGCATAGAATTTTGGGAATTTAAGAAAAAGTTTGTTCATAATTGAGTGTAGTTGGAACGATTATCTTGAGTTGGATTATTACGTGGGCGAGATTCAGTTGAGATCTATGTCCGTGTTTAATATGAAGACCAACGGAGTAATATTGGAAGATGATCCCACTGACCCATCTTCTTGTTAGGTTTCAGAATTGCCACATAGATGCATCTGAGGCAGCCAGGAAGGACATGTTGACTTATATTTGATGAAACCGTTGTCCTAGAGATGCTGTGGTCCTTGTAACTCAGTTGATTCCCGTCAATTTCAATGAACAAGGTGGGGGGCTCAACTCTGATAGAGGTTGTCCATTGAAAAAGAATGTATATTATCAATGTGGTACTAGATGGAGGAAAAAATAGTAAGATCGAGCGAGTTTAGCTGCACTTAAATGGTCTAGGCTAAGCTTACAATTTTTTTTTGTTCTTTTTATTTAGCCTTGTCATTTTTACATATTCCTCACTTGCTATCATGTGCTCTATCTTGTGGTCGGGCCAGGTTTTTGTAATTTTCTGGTTTCTGCGAACTTGTGTTATCCAAATATAAACATAATTATGTTTTTTCTTTGCAGGCTTGGAGTTGATGCTAATGGATATGATGACATTGGAGTTGGAAACCTGAGATCTTGGTTGTCTTCTTTTTTATGTCAGAACTCTACAAGAAACTTTGGTCTTTCCATCCGAATTGCTGCCATAACTGCTTTACTTGGGCTTCTTCCTGTCAATTTTGAAGAGCTCATTAAGAGTAATATCGAGTTTCCAGCAATTGTCAGTAAATCTCTTCCTGTTGATTGTATAAGGGAGTGGTTTTCTTTGTTGAGCAACGAGCAACAGTCCTTGTTATTTGGCCTCCTTCAATCTGCCGGCATGACCAATTGTGGAACTGGATAGTTTACCATGAATCAATTGTTGAATGGGACACTTGGTTGTATCTTGTCTTTTGTACTTAACAAGAATCAGATTAAAGTAGAAGTATTTTTGACGAGATTCACCATCTTTAAGAACCATGTAGAGGGATAAAGAAAAAAGGAACCAATGTGGTTTCTGGATCCAATGAGGAATACAAGAGAGAGCCGATCAAAGGCATTTTTGTTTCACCTGTAAGTCCATTGCAGCGAAATTGTGAAATTTTGAACGAATTTGTATGTCCATCATTGTGGCTTTCACTCGGTCTTTGGTAAATGTGGTTTTTTCCTATAGATTACCTTAATGGTTTTGGTTACAGAAATCTGAGATTATTTAATTTATTTCAAATTGTCCAAAAAGGATAAAACAATAATGAAGTTTTTCTTTGATCAATTGTCTGTAATACCTATACGTGTTATTGTTATCTTAAGTCGTGATTGTTATGATCGATCTTTCTATCCTGCATTATCCTTGAAAAGTAGCGTCTTGCTTTTCTACACTTGAACTTGTTGAAAGTTTTTACATGCTGAAAAATACTAGTAGAATCATTTGCTTGAAATCATGCAACTATTTTGATTATGTGATACAAAGTAACCGTATTGCTTCTGTGTGTATTGCCTTTTTCTTGATGTGGTAAGAAATGGAATACTCTCTTCATTTCTGAAGAAATTGCTTGGATCACTGTTTCTCTTCACTCGTATCAATCTCTCAAAGTTATTCTTTGAAGTAGTTTCTTCCCCAAACCTTTGCTTATGCATAGCTTGTCTATAATTGAGATAGGCAACCCTGGGAGAGTGGGAAACAAATGGCTTCATTTACCTATACACCTTTCTGATCCACTGTACATGTTTGTTAGTTGCAGTGACCTCATCCACAACCCATTTTACCACCAAGTCGAGGTATTTGTGTGTGAGTACCAATTAATATTTCTTTACTTGTTCGCACCGCATCTAGACTTTTTACCTTTTTTTTTTTTATTTTTTTATTTTTTTAATATCTACTGCAATAACATATTTTTATTTTTTATTTTAAAAGTTCAAGCAATCACACATCAATATTCACAACATACCCATAATAGAACTTGAAATCTCAACCTCCTCCTTTAGAAAGGAGAGATTATATCATTAGACCAGAGACTCTTTGATAAAAGAAGAATTAATTAATTCATCATTATTTAATAAAATATCAACATCATTCCTTTTAACTTTATGTATTCAAATTTTATTTTTATTTTTTATTTTAATTTTGGATAAATCAACAATTTATTAGAAAGGGAGAAAACCTTAAAAACAATGAGGGGCAACCCCAACAAAAGGCCGACAAAATGACCAAAGGAGGCCCAAAACCACAAGCCTAGAAGCACAACCATTTTAAAAAACATAAAAAACCAACCCAGCCCTAAACTGATGCCGCTGTAGTATCTCTAGAGCTTTTGCAGACTGCAGTCATGGAGCTTGATGGAAAGCAGACGAAATTCGCAAGTTGTCGAAGATCAGCTGCTGGACACCTTCAACAGAGGTTTTGTGGATTCAAAGTTACTTCATTTTTTTTTTTTTTTTTGAACGTTAATATCAACATTAATTCCTTTTAACTTTCGTCACGTAAGTAAGCTGGAGCCTAACTCTGATCTAATATTTTTGAGCTCATTTAAAGCTACTATAAAAAAATCTTTCTTTTAAAAAATTAAATTAAATTAAAGATCAGCACTAACATTTTAACATGAACATTAAAAAATATTGTGAATATAACTAAATATTTTTAAAATAATAATTAATGATCATGATATATCTACTAATAATTCAGTAATTATTTTATTAGCAGTAAAAAGAGTATAATATTATTTTTTTTGTTCATTTCTGAAGAAATAATCAGGATCAACCTTAGTCTTCACTTTCACCAACATGTTTACAATAAATTGAAAAGCTATCTAATCAATGAGAGAATTCCAATTGGGGGTGCTTGATGTAGCTTCTACACACAAATTGACAAAACCTTCAAATATTATCAAGGGCTAAAATTTTAAATTCAATCTAACACTATGATATATTCTTTTATTTAACTATTTATTTTTAAAATCTCAATTCATGTTTGTTATGATTGGTCTTTCTTCCTAGCATTATACTTTTTTTCATTAGTGCAATTGAAGATCTTTGTTCACATCAATAAGCAATCTTATTCCGTCCTAATTTTATTGTTTATTGTCTTTCTACACATCTATCTCAACATCAAATATTATGATCACAATTATTTTGTAAACATAATAGTTCTTGCCTAGGAAAGAAACATAATATTGCCAAAGTTACCATATAATTCATAACCTCCAATCTTTTGTCTTATAGAGAGACTGGTTATTTTTCGGGTACGTGATTGCATATTACATTAGAATACTTTGGAATATTTGGCTTCTGATATGCCCTGCTGATAAATATGTAATTGGTTTGATCAACATAATAAGGTACATAATTGGCTTCTGCAGACTTTTGAACTTGTGGAAAGTTTCTTTGGTGGCTTGTGCATTTCTATATGCAATATATGAGCTGTTTACATGAAATAATGTAGACTTTTTATTTAATTTTATATATATTTTTATTTATTTGTCCTGGCAAAGAACTCCCACAATGTTAGTGGAGAGATTTGAACTCTCCAGTACCTTCGGTTTTGAAAGGAGAGGAGATACTGCTAGGCAAAAACGACTTCTGTTTATACAAGGATCAATTTTCTGGTAAGAATTCCTGTAATGCTTCTCTATGACTGTTGCCTTTTCCTTGATTTAGCTAGGAAGAATTGGAATGCTCTGTTCATTTCTGAAGAAGTTGGTTGGATCACTCTTTGTCTTCACTCGAATCAATCTGTCAAAGTTACCCTTGAAGTACTTTATACCCCAAACCTTTGCTTGTGCATAGCTTGTGTTACCCTCCTGGTTGATCCCCAAATCCAAATCTTTATAATTGAGATAGGCAGCTCTAGGAGAGTTGGAAACAAATGGCCTCATGTACTCGTAGAGATTTCTGATCCAGTTTACATGTTTGATAGTTGCAGTGTCATTGTCCACAACCCATTTCGCCAAGTATTGTGTGTTGTAAAGATTGCCTTTTCTATGTGGAAAAGGGAGCTCGGATTCTGAAATATCATTCATTCTTCCACCAAAGGGATCCATTATCATTAACCGAATTTCTTCTTCCAAGAACCTTTCCCATATCCCTTCGAGTCCACTTTCTGGTATTGGTTCCTTCACAAAATCCGATTTTCCCTTGAAAAAGCTATGGTACTGGTCAGTTCTGCTTAGTAGAACATCCACGGAATGGTTTTTAGGGTACCCTGCCGAGTAGAGAACAGATTCAATCCAAGTCATTTCGGTGCAGTCTTGTGCACTCAAACCCAACTCGGGGAAGCTCTGGTTCATCAATGGTATTAGCTCGTTTACTCTCCCAAGAAATAGTGATTGGAATTGAGCTTTGGTGCCTTTGCTTTCTCCATCACTTTGGATCAAAATTCTGATGAAGAGATCCTCAGGAAATTTATTCGCAACATATTGCCACCTGTGGACAATCTTGATGGCACCTTGGTCCAGCTTCTTATCAAGACTGAAAGCTGTCACTATAGGTGGGACTTTAACCAGCTTGATTTTCCATGAAACTATGACTCCAAAGCTTGCTCCTCCACCTCCTCTGATGGCCCAAAACAAATCTTCACCCATTGTTTCTCTGTTGAGAATTCTTCCATTGACATCAATCAAATTGGCATCTATAACTTGATCTGCTGCAAGGCCATACTTTCTTACCAGAGTCCCAAATCCACCTCCACTAAAGTGTCCTCCAACCCCTACACTAGGGCATATCCCTGCTGGGAACCCATGGACCGGACTTTTCTGTGCAATGCTATAGTAAAGTTCTCCAACTACAGCTCCAGACTGAACCCATGCAGTTTCATCCTTCATATCAATGCTGATTGACCGGAGGTTGATGAGGTCAATGACGATGAATGGGGTACTGCTGCGGTATGATAGGCCTTCATAGTCATGTCCCCCACTTAAGACCCTGACCTGCAATCCATGATTTCTGCTACAAAGAATGGATGCTTGGATTTCGGATTCAGAGTTGGGGGTGATGAGGAAAAGTGGTTTTTGGTCTGTTGAATTCAACCATCTGGGATTTTGTTGAAAAGATTGCATGAGAGATGAATATGAAGGGGAGGTTGGGGGATAGATGTAGTTTAAACTTTCGTTGTGGCCTCGAGAAAGGATGGACATGCACCTAAGAAAGTCTTCATTGGCTGCATTACAAGTTGCCCTTGAAACTAAAAACAGAAGCAAAGAAACTAGTGGTAGGTAAAGCATCTCTCTATCTTTCTCTGGTTGTAGGGGTAGAGGTTAAGCTTAGTACTTGCTTGGTTTGGTTTAGATGTTGTTTTATAGTTACAAAATGCTGTATGTCACCAAGTGATTATTCCCATATGTAGATGAAACTCAAAGTAAATAATACTTTTGTCTTCATTATAACTCAGTTTGCAAAGTTTTTATTTCAGTATATTAATTGCACACATTTTATATTCAGTAACATTTGTCATTAATTGTAGAAAAAATCCACTTTCCCTCTTCCAGAACATGCACAATATGCCACACATGCATGGTTTCAACAATTGAAACTTATGACTTATGGTAGTATGGAGCAACAGTAAAGTTATTTTTGTGATTTAGAAGTCACAGGTTCCAAATGACCTCTCACCTCTTCGTAGTCCTAAATTGTTGTTTCAAATTATTGGAGTTACACTCCAACTTTATAAATGAAGTTTTAATGAAGACTTAATGAAAGCTTAAACTTATTGTAATTAATTTAGTTTATTAATATGTTATTTATGAATTAAATTTAAAGTTTATTAATTGCTTAATTAAATATATCTTCTATATATTAGTATTAATAGAAGGCTTAGGGTGAAGCCTACAAGACACATACTTAAAGTGTTTGGTGAGAGTTTTTTTTTTTCTTTTTTTTTGGTTGTAAGAACTTTGAGAAAAGTGTTTTTAAAAAATTGAGTTTCTGCGAGTGTTATACTTTGATTTGATGGAACGGAGATAAATATATTGGTTCATGAAGAGAACTGCATATATAGATTTTATATCTGAGTTGAATTTCGGAAATAGTGTTGCTATTTATTTTCCGTTTACACATGTGAGAAGTTCAACTATTTTCAAGAACCGATTATGCATCTCTATGTTTTTCTGCATTGGTGTATCACGTTTGGGAAGAAAGAAATGCCAGAATCTTCTGAGGAATCAATTCATCCTAAAATTCAATCCTATCGAAAGTAAGTGGCAACATTACCTCAATTCACAAATTGGGGGTTCTAAGAAGCTCCATTGCAGCTCACCTCGTCCTAAAGGATTGGAATTTGTCGCCTTCCTCTTGCCATCCTCCACCGAGGCCTCCAGACTGAGGGTTGTATGATCTAGGGCTTGGTTGCCGTCAATGGCTAGGTCACAGGATATGCTTCAGAAATCCACTGCTAACAGCTCCATATGACCGTTATTGTTGGCTTTTTGTTCGAATTAGGTGTTAGCTTTAGGCCAAGGCATAGTTCGTAAGGTTTGGGCCATTGTGCCTTGTTCTCCCAAGGTTGTTTGGGCTGTTTTTGGCCGAAGGCCCTCACTGTACAGTTCTTCTTTTTATTATATTGGCTTTCAACTTTCGAAGAAAAAAATAATAATAATAATTTTGTTCCCACAATATATAGCAGTAAGACTGCATAAATTTTATTTTTATCAAACATCGTTGGGTAGGAGTCTTTTGCATTGGATTAGCCCTAATCCCTTACCTCTTCATCGATCGAGTGCTCGGCCGCTCTCTCTCTTAGTTCTCTCACCCCATGTTTCTCTAAAAGGCCATTATAAGTTCAATATAGGCAGGTGTAGAAGTGAGAATTTGGAGACCAGGTGCATTGTGGTTTTAATCTAAGGGACAATATGGCATATTGGAAAAACAAAGTCATTGTATGATTTGATGGATCATAAAAGTGAATGTTGATAGCTAAAGTTGATTTAGAAAATTCATTCATATCGGATAAATGATGTAGATGTCAATTCATATCGGATAAATGATGTAGATGTCAAATTATTCATTTATTGTATCGATAGTCTCATATTGTTTTAAAGCGAACCATTTCCCACTAATGTGCTGGAGGGCCAAGAATGGCAAAAACACAGTAATGGCTATGCTTTCTTATGTTTTTGAAATGAACCTTTCTGACAACAAATTTTAGTCTAAAAGGGACGTATTGACTATAATTTTTAGTTGGTCGGTAATGCCTTGGATTAAATTCTAAACCCATCGTAGGATGGAAAAATATGAAGTAGATAGTTCTTAGGGTGCGGTACGTGTCGGATAGGATTAGAAGTATTAGGAAAATTCAATATTTTAACTAAGAATTTTATATTTTGGCTGCACGCGATTGCCACGCGACAATAATAGATTTGGAATACTTTTAGAATATGATAGGGTCATTTTGTATTATTATTATTATTTTTTCTTTGGAAGAATGAAATTCAATGCAATTTAAAATATATTATAGGTTAATTAGAAAAATAATATAAAATTTAAGAAAACAAAAATAGCAAACATCTAACTCTAAGCTCCAAATTAGTGAGGCTAAAAAAAGTTTCAAATTAGTGATTTTATTCATGATTATATTGATAAAAAGACAAAAAATAGATTATACATATATAATAAATATATATAATAATTATATTATTATTTTTGGCGTATCCATTCCATATCCGTATCATAATTTTTTGAGATTTATCGTAACGTCGTGCTTGCATTGTGTCATACCTGTGTCCTATTTTCGTATCCGTGCTTCTTAGTTGGGAGGTATTATATGTGAGTAATGAGGTACGAAAACTGTTTGTTAATTTATTGAGAAATAGTGTTCTAATCAGAGGGAGTGACTGGGTCAACTTGCTTGATTTTTATGATTGATTATGTTACTCACTTACAATGATTAACTATTAAACATACATAACCATAAATGTAAACAATAAAGTAAAGTTCGAGAGATAACATCAGAATTTTTAGTGTGGAAATCAATTTGAGAAAACCGACCAACTCGGGAGAAAACCTTGGAGACCTTGCTTCTCTAGCAAAATTAATTCGCTATCTTGAAGCAAAGTACAAAATACTCTAACTCAGACTTACACCTTCTCCAGTCTCCACTATACCAAGAACTAGTTGTTGAACGTCCTTGGCTTTGCGACTCATCGTCCAAACGTTCTCAGCTTCAACCTTATTCCTCAATTCTTGTAGATAGGTTGCTGGTAAAACACGAACACTCTTCGAATACTCTATTCCCATAACTAATTATGGTTCCTTTCAATAATATGAAAAATTAAGAAGGAATTCTGTTACTTTAATCAAAATAAGTTAATTGATTAAAACTTTGAAGATCTTTTCGATCAGAAGAACATCACCCTAAATCACGTTTAAGTGTGTGCTTTCAAAAATTAAGATGAAAAAAATATATATATATTTTTATCAAAATCCCTTTCTTGAATCTCCAATAATGGTGTCAAAGATGATTTTTTGTTTTTCTCCCCAAAACCATATTAGGGCTACTTGGACATCCCAAGAAGTTTGGACTAAAAAAAAAAAAAAAAAAAAAAAACCCTTAAAAGTTACCAAAAATTGAAATCTATCAATTATTAGAAGGTGTAGACTAGTTGGACTTAGTTTGACTGGTCATACTTGCCTAGTCTGTAAAGAATAGAGATTTTGAGAAGTGTGACTGGTTGGACTATAACAGATTATAATTCCAAGAAAATCTTTCATTTATTGGTCAAGTGCAACCGCTCGGGAAAAGTATGACCATGTCGGACTTGTCTTGTCCAGATTGCAACGTTTATTTTCAAAAACTCTATTGTTTTAAATTGTCCTCACGCACATATCTATTCTAAGTGATGTTTCATTCGGTCTCATGGTAGGTGGCACTCGTAATATATTCAAATTCGATGATGAAGACACACAAAAATAAATAAATAATTACAACTCGATTGACGAGTACTTTTGTCACCGAAATTTGCCAACACAAAAACTTATATCTCACATTAATTATGTGTTAAAGATCTAGCGACTCATCATAGCAACCAAAGTTTTATGCGAGTAAAGAGGTTAATTACAAAGTATTGGTCGCAATTTGAGGTTGGGTAAGTTTTATCGATTGTTTTTTGGAGCAGTTTGATCATATATAACATTTTGATTCGAGAAAGACCCATTCCTGACCAAGAATGGTTTAATAATTAAAACCCACTAGCTTTTGTTAGTGCCCTATGTCATTTTTCAGTCAAATTCCTTCATTTAGGGATCCAAAATCACGATTTTTTTTATACTATTGGATATTGTAAAAAAAATTTGTTGGAGGTCTAAAGTGGATTTTGGAATTTATCTTAGTTTAGTGATTAAGTTTTATCTCCTATTTGTTTATAAACTTTAAAGAATTCAAAATTGGTCTTGATAAGGAGAAATTATTAGATGGTCTCGGACCATTAATAATATCTCCTTGATAAGTGATATTTAGCAGGTTAGGAATGTCAAACAATACGGGAGTCCAAGAGTTAGATAGACTACAATTGGCAAGGATTTAGTTGACTACTTCTTCAAATAACTTTTCCATTCTGTAATTGAGAAGTCAAGGAGACTAGTTCCTTAGGTAGAAACTACTATCCAGGCGCGCGATAAAAAGAGGGGTCAGTCAACCTACTAAGGTAGGCCATAAATTTCATATTTAATCATTTTTTTGGATATTCAATCATCAAGCTGCCCGCCGGCCTTTGCCGACCGTTACTTCACTTATCTTGCAGGAAACGCTCCCAACTTCAAACCGTACAGATTTTTGCATCTAACAACGCTATTGTCAAGTTGAGTTTTTGTACAATTTGGCAACAACCTTATCTCAACCTACAAAAACTATAGTCAAATTGTTTCAAATATCATTGTGGTTACCCTGCCTTGGAAACTGGGGGAGAACAACGCCCTCTACCAGAAGCCCTTGAATTTAAAAATAATTCATCAACGAGAGAATTCTAATTGGGGGTTGATGTTGCTTCTACACAAAATAATAGTATTTAATTAATAATTTTTAAAAATTAAATCTAAAAATAATAATATTTACTTAATTATTATTTTTATATCTCTTTGCATGTTTGTTATGATGGGTGTTTCTTCCTGGCATTATCCTAGATAAGTAACATGTTACTTTGCTTCATTAGTGAAATTGGAGATCTTTGTTCACATTAGTAAGCAATCTTAGTCGGTTCTCTCACACACAATGCTTTCATTTTTATTCTAATTTTATTATTTATTGTCTTTCTACACATTTATCTCAACATCCCATACCATTATGATATTATCACATTCAGTTTGTAAACATAATAGTTCTTGACTAGGAAAGAAACATAATATATTACCAAAGTTGCCATATAGTTCTCAACCTCCAACCTTTTGTCTTATAAAGCGATTGGTTATTTTTGGGCATATGTGATTGCATATTACATTAGAATACTTTGAAATATTTGGCTTGATAAAATATGTATGTGGTTTGATGAGCATAATAAAGTACGGCTGGTTTGTCAATCGTATTTTATATTTATTTTTTGTTTTGAATAGTATATTGTACGGAAGCAAAAATGCGTGAAGAACAATACAAGGAAAAAAAAAAAAAATTTTAAAAAACTTTTTATCTAGTCATTTTATTTTTCAAACTTGCAATAGTTTTTTAAGTACATGTTTATGGACACACTTCAACATGTTTCAGGTCAAAACAAAAGCACAAAGTTAATATGGTTGCCAAATAGAATAATTCTATTTATGTCAAATCATTTTTCTGGTAAGAATTCTCTATGAGTATTGCCCTATTCTTGATTAAGGAAGAATTGGAATACTCTGTTCATTTCTGAAGAAGTTGGTTGGATCAGTGTTTGTCTTCACTCGAATCAATCTCTCAAAGTTACCCTTGAAGTACTTTATACCCCAAACCTTTGCTTGTGCATAGCTTGTGTTACCCTCCTGGTTGATCCCCAAATCCAAATCTTTATAATTGAGATAGGCAGCTCTAGGAGAGTTGGAAACAAATGGCCTCATGTACTCGTAGAGATTTCTGATCCAGTTTACATGTTTGATAGTTGCAGTGTCATTGTCCACAACCCATTTCGCCAAGTATTGTGTGTTGTAAAGATTGCCTTTTCTATGTGGAAAAGGGAGCTCGGATTCTGAAATATCATTCATTCTTCCACCAAAGGGATCCATTATCATTAACCGAATTTCTTCTTCCAAGAACCTTTCCCATATCCCTTGGAGTCCACTTTCTGGTATTGGTTCCTTCACAAAATCCGATTTTCCCTTGAAAAAGCTATGGTACTGGTCAGTTCTGCTTAGTAGAACATCCACGGAATGGTTTTTAGGGTACCCTGCCGAGTAGAGAACAGATTCAATCCAAGTCATTTCGGTGCAGTCTTGTGCACTCAAACCCAACTCGGGGAAGCTCTGGTTCATCAATGGTATTAGCTCGTTTACTCTCCCAAGAAATAGTGATTGGAATTGAGCTTTGGTGCCTTTGCTTTCTCCATCACTTTGGATCAAAATTCTGATGAAGAGATCCTCAGGAAATTTATTCGCAACATATTGCCACCTGTGGACAATCTTGATGGCACCTTGGTCCAGCTTCTTATCAAGACTGAAAGCTGTCACTATAGGTGGGACTTTAACCAGTTTGATTTTCCATGAAACTATGACTCCAAAGCTTGCTCCTCCACCTCCTCTGATGGCCCAAAACAAATCTTCACCCATTGTTTCTCTGTTGAGAATTCTTCCATTGACATCAATCAAATTGGCATCTATAACCTGATCTGCTGCAAGGCCATACTTTCTTACCAGAGTCCCAAATCCACCTCCACCAAAGTGTCCTCCAACCCCTACACTAGGGCATATCCCTGCTGGGAACCCATGGACCGGACTTTTCTGTGCAATGCTATAGTAAAGTTCTCCAACTACAGCTCCAGACTGAACCCATGCAGCTTCATCCTCCATATCAATGCTGCGGTATGATAGGCCTTCATAGTCATGTCCCCCACTTAAGACCCTGACCTGCAATCCATGATTTCTGCTACAAAGAATTGATGCTTGGATTTCGGATTCAGAGTTGGGGGTGATGAGGAAAAGTGGTTTTTGGTCTGTTGAATTCAACCATCTGGGATTTTGTTGAGAAGATTTCATGAGAGATGAATATGAAGGGGAGGTTGGGGGATAGAAGTAGTTTAAACTCTCGTTGTTGTGGCCGGTCGACATGCACTGAAGAAAGTTTTCATGGACTGCATTACAAGTTGTCCATGAAACTGAGAACAGGGCCAGAGAAACTAGTACTGCAAGGCAATCCATCTCTCTATCGCTCTTGTTGTAAGGGTAGAGGTTATAAGCTTTGCTACTTGCTTTGTTTGGTTTTATAGCTACCAAATGCTGTATATCACCAATTGAGAATTCCAATGTGTTGATGAACGCTCAAATTAAACAATACTTCGTTTTTTTTTTTTTTTTTTTTTTTTTTTTTTTTTTTTTTTTTTTAATTGCACATTTTATATTTAGTAAAGTTTTAATTGCTTTAGATATAAAACGCTTATAGAGAATAATAATTTTTAAGACTTGTATCAATTTCTTCACCCATTGTTTCAATTGAAGTCATTGGTTCCAAATGGCAAATCATCCCTTCCTAGTTTTAGATTATTGTTTCATATTAACACGGTGTAACTCCACCTTTATAAATGAAGGGATGATTTCTTCCCAAAACCATATTTGGGCTACTTGGACATCCCAAGAAGTTTGGATAAAAAAATAAAAAAAAAAACCTTAAAAGTTACCAAAAATTAAAATCCATCAATTATTCAGGAAAGTGCGACTAGTTGTACTTAGTTTGACTGGTTAGACTTACCTAGTCTGTAAAGAATAGAGATTCTGAGAAGTGCGACCGGTTAGACTATAATAAATTATAAATCCAAGATAATCTTTCATTTATTGGCCAAGTGCAACCGCTCGGGGAAAAGTAAGACTGTGTCAGACTTGTCTTGTCTAGATTGCATCATTTATTTTCAAAAACTCAATTGTAATCCTATCCAACCTAAATATAAATTGTCCTCACGCACATACCAAATCTAAGTGATGTTTCATTCGGTCTCATGGTAGGAGGCACTCGTAATTTAACTCCAATGATCAAGACACACAAAAAAAATAAAAAATTACAACTGGATTAACAAGTTTTGACACCGAAATTTGCCAACACAAAAACTTATATTTCACATTATGTGTTAAAGATCTAGCGACTCATCATAGCAACCAAAGTTTTATGTGGGTAAAGGGGTTAATCACACAGTGTTGGTCACAATTTGATGTTGGGTAGGTTTTATTGACTATTTTTTGGAGTAGTTTGATCATATCATTTTGATTCGAGAAATCCATTCCCGACCAAGAACGGTTTAATAATTAAAACCCACCGGCTTAATAGCTTTTGTTAGTGCCCCATGTCATTTTTCAGTGAAATTCCGTCATTTAGGATCCAAAATCAAGAAATTTTTTTTTTTTTTTTTAATACTATTGAATATTGTAAAAACATTTTGTTGGAGGTCTAAAGTGGATTTTGGTATTTATCTTAGTTTAGTAATTAAGTTATATCTCCTATTTGTTTATAAATTTTAAAGAATTCAAAATTGGTCTTCATAAGTGATATTTAGCAGGTTAGGAATGCCAAACAGTACTAGTGTAATATTCCTGAATTTTGTCATTTTTCAATTTCTGGAATATTCTGATTTTCAAGAGTATTTTCGTCTTTTCTTGTTTTGCGTGTCGGACACCGTGGAGTGTGCCGGGTGTGTCAGAGAGTTGTTTGGGATATTTCTTCGAGTCTAGGACTCTTGGAAATGTATTGGTGGCCATTTCGACATTTTTCAATTTTTCGGATCGGAGAGTCCTAGGTGACCCGTTTTCAGGATTGTCGTGTACGGGAGTTGCGTCATGGGTCCATTGCATTTTATACATGACTATTTTGTATATAATTTTATGATAATGTGTTAAATTGTGTGGTTGATAGTTTAATTTAAATTGTGTATAGAAATAGAAAAGAAAAATGAAATATTTTAAATTAGTTATGGGGCCCACCACCATTTAATATGTTTAAATGGCCAAGAGGCCATTTCTTGGCCTCAATTTTATCTTTCTCTCTCTCTCTCCACGTTTTTCTCTCTTCCTTTCATTTTTTTTTTTCTTTTTCCTACAAGCTTCAAGGCTTGATCTCTTTCTTTTCTTTGAGATTTTGGTGTTACCGCTTTGGGCAAAGTTGTAGAGCTTGTCGAGGTCGTCGTTTTGATCGGAGCCAATCTCCATTTAGCCACCTTTGGGGAATTCAAAATTCTAGGATTTTAGGTAGAAATTTGTGGCTTTTTTTCAAATTGAGGTAAGGGTTCCTAATCCATGACTTCTTAGACTTTTTGTGAGTCAATTTTCCATGAATTGTTGTCTAACATGCTAAAATTGTGTTAATTTTCTCTAAGTTGGCTTGATTGTTGTAGATGAACCATATGCCTATGTGTATTAGTTGATTTGTGTGAGAAAGCATGCTTATGTGGTAAATTTTCATGCCTATTATGTGTAGATTGTTGAAATTTGAAATATGGAAGCATGTTGATCAATTTGAAAGTTATAAAACCCTTTATTGACATAGCATTGGAAAACATGAGACATCCATGCATATCACTGGGCATGAAATGGGAAAATTTGATTTAAATGAAAAGTAAATGGTTTTGAGAAAAAGTTTGATGAAAGGTTTGCGAAAATCCGGACGCCTAGCGGTCCGTGGTGTTAATGCGATCTAGAGGGAGTTAGGGAGAGACCCTAGTGTGGTTGAGCTACCTAGGCCTAGACGACGCCATGTGGTTGAGGATAGCTAGCCAATCCTTTCCTCGCGATGCCATAGAGGCACTATGGGTCGGGTTGCATTAATGGTTTGTAATGATGAAACGAAAATGTTTTGGAAACGGGGTGTAACATTGTATTCCATAGCATGGCATAAATTATTCGTTACTTGGACGATTGCTGTTGATATTGTGGTTGTATTTTTTCCGATATAACATGATCCCATTTTCCTTACTCTTATTCATTGTTGGATTCACGGTGTTTCAAGAGGTGTGTCTTAGGCACCTCCTACTGAGCCATCGTACTCATCCCTTTATTATTAATATTTTTCAGGGCTCGGGAAAGAAGTAACTGATGACGTTCCCCCAAAAACTTAGTTCGAAGATATTGAAGTTCTTTTGCTACTTTTTGTACACTTGTGCCTATTCTTTTGTAGAGCCGCATTTTGAGAATTTATCTGTTTTGTATAGCATGGCCATATACTGTAAATATAACCCTAGACAGTAGTTTGATGTAAATTCAGAACTTTGTCGACATATTGTAATAAATGAAAAATATATATATATGTTTTGTGTAATATTTAATATCTATAATTGTAGAATGTTGTGCATTGTTATTGTATAGTAATTACCGTAAATTTGGAATATGTTTGCATATCAGATCTTGTACAGGTCGGCTCACAATGGGCCTAGCCTAACTAATATTTTAGCTACAGATAGCAGCATTCCAAGGCCTGTTGGCCGGCTGACAGTGCAATTCTTGGTGTTCCAGTAGGTCAAGTCAGTGAGAATGTTGTTTCGGCCGGCTGATAAACACTGTCAGCCGACCGAACCTCCCTTGTCAGTTGGATGATCAGTCGGCTGAAAGCCCTCTTTTCTAAAGTCCTGGGAGTATTCAACTTTGGGGATCGTTTCAGCCTACCGACCCTATGGATCAGCCAACTGATTATGTACTTTCAATCGACCGGCTGACGAAGGGCCATCAGTCGCCTGACCTTGCCTTTTAACCTGTACTTTAACTTCTCCTTCTAAGCTATGTTTTTAATTAGAAAGACTTTGGACCCTTGAATGATTTGTGTATTCCTAGTGAGCATAGGAAATGATGAGATTGCCATTAGTTGACCTCGGGTTTGGGTAAGGATCCGGTTAAACTGTTCGGGCCAACAGGTTCAGATCGTTACTGTAGGGAAACGTGCAAGTTTTAAAAACTTTTTGAGGGATTTTGATTCATAGATCTTGATTCATCACATAGAGACAAGTTTTATACAAAAATAAAATATGATGTATCATTCAAATAATAGATTGAATACTTACATCAAAGGTCTGAGTAAACCTTTAAATCTTTCCTCTAAAGTGACTGTTCTCACTTATTGTAGATCCCTTAGCAATGCCTTCTCCTTGGATCTCCATCTTCTTGCTAATTATTTTGCCTTTAGGAATCACTCATAAGCTTCCATGAATGACCTTGGAAAATTAGGCTTGTGGGAGCCTCCATTAGATGAGAACATAAACCCTAATTTTTTAGAGAGAGAAAATATATTCCTTTTTCCTTCAACTAAAAAAACACACCTAAAATATACATAAACCATGTATATTTATAGGCAACATAAAGATAAAGAAAAGGAAACAATAAACCATTCTTAATCTCTAATTCACATGTCTCAAATCTAATATGATTTCAATATCAAATTGGGTTATGAGTGAGAATCCATTGGGCCTATTATTTTATTAGCTACAATGAATTAATAATTGACCCGGTTCATGGACCCAATTCAATTAATTCATAAATTAATTTTTGCTCCACTAAAAGAAATTAATTGAACTCCAATTAAATAATAAATAACCTCTAAGTCAATATTGCACTTTGATCCCTCTATGCATAGTTAGTTATCGGATAAATAAAGCCATCAATCCGACTACTTAATTAATATATTTATTTTGGTACCATTGATTATTTCTGGCTCGATCACAATAAAACATTTGTTTGACAAAAATAATAATTTAAATAAATAAATACATAATAAATCATTTGGTCTAAAAACATACGAAGGCCTTCGAATTTACTTTGTGATCAATCATAATCAATACAAAATAAATACAAATAGTAATGATACAAATATTGAAAATATAACCCTCTAACTATTAATTACATAACTACCCAAAGTGTCGGTCTAAGGATCCCGAAGAATCCGCCGAACATAACAAAGTAATTATTAATTAATAAAAGAGTCTATAATTTTCTCATGCTTAAGAGTCAAATGCCATGACGGTGATACGGAGCAATTGCATACGACGGCTCTCGCAATATATTTCAACCTAACGCGGATCCAGTTCAAGTCTTAATTAATTATGAGTCCATCCATAATTACCGACTATGAACCATTTATGATTACTATTTATATTCATGTATTGATCGCCATTACATACATATATAAATATTTCTTATAATCAAGTGGATACTATCAATTCTATAATGAATCG